CCCCCCCCCCCCCCCCCCCCCCCCCCCCCCCGAGGACCTCGAACCTCGAACCACTTGGCGTTGGCAGAAAGGTGTTTGCCTTACTTTCATCTCGACAGGAGGAAGACCATGGAAAGACTTCCGCTTATTTTCTGTCATGGGGGATATGAAGAGGTGCATTAGTGGTGTAGTGGCTGCGTTCATGCCGCGTCTCCCAAAGCTTTTTTTCGACAACTCCACAGAGGTTGCATTCCAAGTTCATACCCTGTGTGTCAGGTAAAGCGAGGGGCAGTAGATATTGGGAATTCAAATATTCCTGTCATTGTAATAAAATAAAAAAATGATTTGGTCAATTTTTGACGATAGCTTGATGCTTAAAACACAACTTTGACATATTTGCAATATTTGTTCCATTGACTCAAGCGGCAGAAACTGAGCAACATTAGCATTCATTTGGAGTCGTGTTTGTGTCACCTGATGACTGGAAGTCTGATATTCACTCTGCTTTTACCTCTGCGTTTGGTCCCTTTAGATGCTAAATACTCCACTATGTTCACCAGCTAGTCTCCGTAGGTTTGGGTGTCTCCCAATACCAAAGGGCCTACTTGTGTGTCGACTGATTTTACAGTGTCCCTGGAGGAACTTCGCCATGTCTTCTCAAATCAAATGATCTCAGTGCGGCCGTGCAGACTACAGACTTATAACACAAATCCTGATTTTTTTTTTTTTTTTTTTTAAGGCAGCGAGAGTCTTTAACAAAAGATTGTATTGTGTTGCATTATGGGAAATGTGGAATCAAGTGCCTCTCTGGTATCTCAGTGTTTGACCATCCCTTTTTCTAATCTGTCTCGCAAGTCCCCGTACATTCTAGAAGTGCAGCACTAAGTCTCTGAAGTAACATTTGAAGTCGCCTCTGTATACCGAGACAGTGAAGAGAGATCTGTAGCTGACGGGCCTGAGACGAGCAGCTTCCTGTTGTCTTTTCCTGGTTGCCCAGTCTGTGTGAAGTAACTGTCCCTGCTCCTGGATGTAATACTTAACCCGCTATGTTTAGAATTTGTACTGATCTTTATGTATCCTTAATACTTGTGCATATAATTTTCAGTGTTGTGTGTAAATAAAGATTGTTACTTTGAAACTGTCAAAAAAACGAGATGCTGTGAACGTCATTTTGATAGATGGTACCAAATGACAAATCTGTTTAAATATGTGGATTCGCCAATCCGACGCTTTCATTCCCGATATGATACGACACCTGGGCTGTTTATTAATACGCTGTATGCCTCACTGTGTGGAAGTGACTCGGATTCATTCTTTTGTGTGATTCAACATCAGGCTTCACTTAAACATTGCTTTCCTAACTCTGTAACAAAATGTAACCAATAAATACATTGATATAAGTTTGTTGAATTGATATTGTTAAAATCCCACTGTATAATGTATAATGTATGTAAACACATTGTCACTGAGACCCGATTTATTTGAGTCAGTATCGGTGCATCCCTAATGTCCTCAGGAGCATATCTAGTGAACGGTGCTAATCATACAGAATCACTGAACATTATTTTTATTCATTTGTAAATGACAACTTATATACTATGCTAATATATCACAAACCCAGGATGGGGGAAGGTTTATATGTAGTATAATCTTCCATCCTCTTTGTTGAATTGTTACTTTCCACTCAAGTGTTGTGCCATGTTTTTATTAATTGTACTTTTCTGTGCACCATGATGGTGTTTGTGGATCCAACATGCTCAGTGACATGTGCTTTTCAACACGTTGAGAGAAGCTCAGCAGAGGTCTATCCACAGGGCTTTTATTTTGAAGTTAACCGCCATTTCCTCATTCATTCAGTAAAAGGCCTCTTAATTGTAGTAATGGGGTGAAATATCTTCATCCATCGTGTGGACATGCTGCGCTCACTGGTGGAGGAACACAAAACTGCAGCCACGACGACGTGTATTTCTGATATAAAGATGAGCGACAAGTTAGAGAAAAAAACTGAAGGAATGTGGAGAAACATCCAGCGATATTAATAACTATAGAAAACACGTCTTTAATCTCCATGAAGACTTAAGTCAGGATTTCTTGTTTGGAAATGTTAGAATGGACACTTTCAGGACAGTTTGTTTGATTTGACATCTCCCTCACTTCTGTTATTAGGGAATAACAAACGTTTTTAATTTATTAATAAGGCCACAATTTTTCAAGTCTGAAAACAGGTGTGAAGGTGCACTGAAACAGGTTGTGCTTGCTGCAATGGCTCCTCCAGCTCCTGCTGGTCTTTAGAAGATCCTTTCATAGTGCTCCCAACCAAAGTGATGAGACAATCCACAGTTTACACAGAATTACTGTGAATTTTGTCTGCGCATTAGAAAAGGATCTTTTACTTACCAGTGTGAACAATATAAATTATTAAACTGTCAATGTCCATATGATTACCTGACTGCTGATTTAACTTAAACTGTGAAGCTTACCTTTAATAGGTAAAACTTGTTTTTATTGTCATCTTTTTTATGCTGACTCCCACTCATACTGAACCATGTATGTTATACCAGCCTGTAGACAGTCAGCCTACACAACTTTAGACTGTTTGTAGTTTAACCCAATTATTTTGTACAAACTATTTCATAAACTCATTCCATGGATGAAATATAATTCAGACAGCAGGCGTCTTTTATCTAAGGGGTCCCTCAAACAACTTTAAGAAAAGTGAACAAAAACATGAATCAACTCAAACACTTTTATTGTAAATCATGGAAAAAAAACATGCCATTGTGTGAGGCATTCTGAGGGGTACATCAAGGGACACATGGTGAGTATTTTAGGAGGTGTCCATGGTCTGTACAGTTTCCTCCACGACCTCCAGGTTCAGCGTGGTCTTGGACAACACACCGGTGGTTCCTCTTTTGTACTTGTAGTCGCCAGTTCTACATCGGGGGAGAAGACGTACATGGAATGATGACGTTTCATTTCTAGCTAGAGCTGAACTGTTGCATTAAACACGTTCATCACAGCATGCACTTCAGACAACCCTCCAACAGATACGGCCATGCACGTTAGTGATGCAAAGTCAAAGTGAGCAGGTAGAGTTACAAGAAAAAAAGAAAAGAAAAAAAAAGCTGGTTAGTAGCAGATTGAGATGTTAGGTTTTGCACTCTAGCACAACACTCTGCTTCTGTACTCACAGCTGATCGCCTTCAAGCTCATTCACTCTTCTAGCAGAACAAGCAATGAGACAAGTCATCCACAGAGTCATCGAGTAACGATAAGTTAATTAATTCAGATCACAACTAAGATGTCCCTACATCCTCAGTGGTGACGTCTGTCTGTCTGTGCGAGCGAGAGAAACATGGCAATGGAAACATTGATGCCATTTTGGTATAACTGCTGGTTTAATTTTCATCTACATTACTATCTGAAATCGTGTGCTCACTATGGAATGAATGAATATATATATATATATATATATATATATATATATATATATATATATATGCATCGGAAATACACGAGGGCAAAGGGCAAAACTGGCCCCAAGAAATATAATTTTGCCCCCGATATCTCTAGGAGAGGGGCAAAAAATGCCCCCATAATTTCCTCTAATAATAATGACAATTTAATGAACTTGTCAAAAACATCGTAGCCTATATGACCCGGTCCAGTTGCCATATGTTTTTGATTTTCGCCTTGACTGATGTTGCGTGTAGAACCGAATGTTCTAATCAAATAAATAAATAAATGTGCGCTTCTTAATCAGACCTGTGACTGCGGTCAACTCAGCAGACACTTACATGTTAGTGCACCTATATGCTGAAATTCACGGTAAACGCATTCAAACGGCACAGATCGGGAGCGAGCGAAGGACTTTGCAAAGTTAGCTGAAAGATTAACGTGAGACAACATCCGGTTTCTTCAGATGAACATCCGGTTTTCAGAATAAGATACCAACAAAGTATACATATTGGATAATAGAAATTAGATTAAATTAATTATATTCACATTAAGTATAAAACATGCTACCTGCATCTCGTGAGTTAAAGGGAAAATACACCTAAATTGTGCGTAAAGTGTCGCTAATGAATAATACCTAACTGACATTCAATTAAGATATTTTATTAAGCAAAAACTCTGAACTGAATTTGTACCTTCAAATGGCACATTTTTTGAAATTTTAAGGTGCTATAAAAATGTTTTTCTCAAAAATTCCACACAATGACTAATGCATATGTTCAGGACAAAAATGGGTAATATTACAATATTTAAGGTGCTACAAAAATATCTCAATAATTCCATACAATGACTGATGTACAGTGGGTACGGAAAGTATTCAGACCCCTTTAAATTTTTCACTTTGTTTCATTGCAGCCATTTGCTAAAATCAAAAAAGTTCATTTTATTTCTCATTAATGTACACTCAGCACCCCATCTTGACAGAAAAAAACAGAAATGTAGAAATTTTTGCAAATTTATTAAAAAAGAAAAACTGAAATATCACATGGTCATAAGTATTCAGACCCTTTGCTCAGTATTGAGTAGAAGCACCCTTTTGAGCTAGTACAGCCATGAGTCTTCTTGGGAATGATGCAACAAGTTTTTCACACCTGGATTTGGGGATCCTCTGCCATTCTTCCTTGCAGATCCTCTCCAGTTCCGTCAGGTTGGATGGTGAACGTTGGTCGACAGCCATTTTCAGGTCTCTCCAGAGATGCTCAATTGGGTTTAGGTCAGGGCTCTTGCTGGGCCAGTCAAGAATGGTCACAGAGTTGTTCCGAAGCCACTCCTTTGTTATTTTAGCTGTGTGCTTAGGGTCATGGTCTTGTTGGAAGGTGAACCTTCGGCCCAGTCTGAGGTCCAGAGCACTC